ACTTCACCCAATATAAATCCAAATCAATTTGGCCCAAGTCTGGACCAGTTCAATGCAGTTTGACCTGATCCAACATATACTAATCTGGGCCGACTCGAATCCGAAATAGACCTCGGGCGGGATGGCTCGGTACCGCTTGCTTTGCCTGGTTTGGGTCATCCGGTCAAACCATTATTCACACAGCCCAGCTCGACCCGGTACAAGTTGCTCTGGGTCAACCCGAATCCGAAACGGGTGGGGTCCGAACCCTAAACCGCCCCGCTTGCTTTGCCCGGTTTGGATCGTTTAGTTCGGTTCATATCCGTACAACCCGACCTGAATCCAGCCCGGTCCAATTTACTTCTTTTAACCCGCTTCGAGCCAATCGGTTTGGACCCAAACCCATGCACTAACCTGATACGAGCCGACCCAAGTCAATCCACCATTTGGCTTAATCGGTCCGGTCTGGTCTGACTAGATTGAACCAGCCCGGTCGGGGTCTGGCCCCGACCAAACTGAACCAGTCCGATTGGGTTTGGTCCGACGGGACTGAACCGGTCTGATCGGGTGTTGTCTGACCGGACTGAACCGGTTCGGGTGGGGTCTAGTTCGATCGGACTGATTCGGATCTAAATGGTTCAACCACTCTTGAACTTGATGTGATTACCTCGAAGACAATCCAATTATATAGTTCAAGTTGGTCTAACCAGTTTGAACCTATGTGGTTCATCAAATCCAAAACCCGAACATAGCTTGTATAAAAATAGATTTGAACCTTCACCACTTGTGTAAATAGCAACTATTATTACTACTAAGTTATAACTAACTTATTTGTTAAAAAGGAGTTAGCTTTTTTATTTTAAGTACATAAATATAAAATTATTGAGTTTGGGGGATTGAATTGGGTTAAAGCGGGTTTGAGTTGAACCCAACCCATTTGATTTTATATAACTGGATCATTAACAGGTTGGCGAGTTAAATGGGTTGGGTTGAAACTCAAACCAAACCAAACCTAATCCAACCCGCCCAATTGCCACCACTACCTACCTATGAGGTGATCCTTCAAAACATGGTAATTTGACATATCTTTTGAATCCCAATTGCCATAACTCTTTCCTGACTTCTCTCTGTGGTTTGGGAACACAAGATGCATATGTGGGTCTTGGTCTTCTTGGACTATCTTAACTTTCCACCTGTCACATTCTTCTAGCATTTGAACCCAGACCTAAATTGGGAGACCCGTTAGGCTGAAAATCAGCTTGTACAGAATGTTAATAGCCAATTGCTGTTACTGCATTCAAAAAATGGAGATAAGTTTCTCCAGTAGTGAAGTAGTTCTATGTAGAATGTCAAAATCAAATGGTTGATTGGTTGAAAGTCAATCAAATTAAACTGATATTTTTTATACATCCATGGCCTTACTTGGGACCCACTCGTTGGTTGGCTTTGCTTGTTAATATTATCAATTATCATTAATATTGTTACTCATTTTTAATTATTATTAATATTATTTTTATTAATTATTAATATCATTGGAAATTTAATGCTATTTTTCTTTTATGTATTTTATTTAAGAAATAAATATTGTTTTTAATGATTAAAAATATAGATCATCTCAAATGTTGTAGTTGAGATACATAGAATCAAAATACGGAGTATGGACTGAAATGCACCACACCTTGCAGAATGCCTACAGAGGTGTGTGGTGTGGTTCAACACGTACATCTTTCTCCACGGTGCAAAACAACTATCCTATTGGAGTGTGGTGTACTTCCATCTATGAAAATGCACCACCCAATTTCTCATCTACGTTATAAAACACTCCTAAATCAACATTTTTTAAAAAATTTCCAGGTTTAGATTTAACGTAGACCAGAATTGATGTCAAATAATAGTTCAAATGGTTCAACCACCATGATCAACAACAATTCGAAAAATGCTGCGCAAATCAAAATTTTCATTGTAAAAAGAGTAAAGACAACTCAAACATTTTACAATTTTAGCCCGAAGAAATCTCTTTTCACTTTATCTCAAAACGAAGAGAACCTTAAATAATATAAAAGAAAACAGACGTAAAATAATCACTCCAGCATTGAAATCTTTCAACACTCAGAAATAGGAAGGGCCAAGTTGTTGAATAATGTAAACTCAATTTTCAAATAAGAATCCTTGTAGCATTCAGCCCCAATTCAGATTCCTGAGAAAGCATGGATCTGCTGATGTACTATCAGCCTCTAATCATTTGTACCATGATTCTTAACATATATTATTAATTTAGATTATCATTGAAAGAAATTTATAGAAACAGTAGGAGGACTTCATAGTATCTAATTTCTATTAGTTATTTATATTAACAAGTTTATCCCCCAAACCTTACCTTCTCTTGAGTTGGACACTCTCAAAGTTCTGATATTTAATATTTTAAATAATCTCTATCCATCTATACACTTGTTACATAGCATATGAAGGGATGAGAGATCCATCCTATGGACGCCCAAAGATTGTGGAATAAGGGACGAATTTCAAAAATTTTTCTTTCCCTTCAACTGGGAATCGCATTCCCTATTTAGAAAATCATATTTTCAAGGATCATTCTTGAACCTTAAACTGAATCAGATCTGAACCAAAAGGAATAAGAGAGAATTATACCTGAAACGAAGAAGTAGTATCTCCCAATGGAGGTGTTCATGCCCAAGGAAGAATCCAAAAACTGCTCTCACTGAAAATGGCGCAGTACAGGATGGAGCAGAATCAGCAATGTTCTTCTCTAAGAACTCTGTCCTTCGCAATAATCAGCAGGATGGTACGTGAGCACAGTTTCCTTTCAATCCTTTCTCAAAGAACTGATGTCAAGATCCAATCTTGACTTCTCCCACAACTGGAGATCGAACTGGC